GGCAGTGATACAAAAGTGCTGGATCTCCAAACAGCCCCTCCAACTGGGCTCTGGCCCACAGCAAAAAAAAAAAAGGATGAAAATTAACATGTATATGTGAAATCTGTTCTCTGTTGCTCATTGTCGAAAGCCTTCCAGAAGAAAGCAGGGCAACATCTTCTGTCCAGAAATCTCTGAGGAGAGAAAGATCATAAGGACAAGGGCAAGCCCCTGAGTTTGGGTGTCTGGCATCAAGAGCCCCTGGCCCATCCTTCGTACTTGCTGCCATGACGGGGAGAGAGGTGGTGGAAACATCAAAAGTTTCCCAGGAAACCCCCAGCAATACCACATTTCAGGGGCAAAAGATATTTTAGGAAGATCCAAAGGCTTCTAAAAAGCATGACACAATTTTTCTCAAAATTTTCAAGCCATTAGTTGATCATTTATGGAACTTTCTTTTCTAATGTAAAAAACAAGGAGAGTAGAGCAGATTAAAATTCAAACATTCCATACTCTTTCCTGCAAAAAAAAAAAAAAAAAAAAAAAAAATGGAGATTTTAGAGCTGAAATCAAGGGATGCTGTAAGGTTTTTACAAGTAGCTAACCAGTGGAGCTCATTGTTTCCTTGTACACTGCAGGCTTTGTTCTCAAAGGCTTCCTGGAACAAGGTGCAGTTGGACTTAGTATTCTTGGGTAGCGCATTACAGAACACCACCAACCTCGGATTGGGTTCTATGTAGTTATACCTAGGATGCTCTGCCATGCCCCTTCATCATCATACTTCTGCCTTGGAGCCTGCCAACCACGGGATGAATCCCCTGAGCCCTGACCAAGTTGAAATTCTCTTCCTTTGAGTTGTAGGCATTGGGTATTGTGTCTCTGTAACAGGAAAGATGACTAATATGGAAAATTGGTACCTGGAGTGGTGCTGTTGCTGTGACTACCTGAATGTGTGCTGTAGAAGCCTTTGAAACTGGCTTGCTGGAGGAATTTGGTAAGGTTTGGAGACACCAACTAGAGAAGCCACAGAAGGCTGATAAGTGAATTTGTTTAGAGCTCAGAAGACCAACATGATGATAGTAATTAGCCAATAAAAGCGAGGCTCAAGAGGTTTTAATTGAAAACAAAGACTTCACTGGCATTTGGACTAGAGGCCCTGTCTGCTGAGAAAATTTGTTTATATTTTGCCTGTGTCCTGAGACTATATGGAAGACTGAGATTAAGAAAAGTGATTAATTAACCTGGCAGAGGAAATTTCAAAACAGCCCAACATCCAGGCTGTGGCGTGGGTAATCCTGGCACTTTTTACTTAGGCTCTTTTTACCTAGATATATAATCCTGGCTCTTTTTTACCTAGATATAAAGGCAGAGTAAAAAATGTTTTAAAACTTTAATTATAGCCCAGAAGAAACCCTGTGTATTTGAGATCAAATAAAATATGGCTGCTGAAGAGATTAGTGTCATTAGAAAGAAACTAAGTACCTTGTGTAGGGATGAAAAGAAAGATGCCTTGAGGGCATCTCAGGAATGGAAGACCTTACCCACTGCAGACGCAAGATTGCACAAGTGTCAGCGTTTTTTAAAGAGATTCCCGTGAACCCTTGCTCAGCAGGCTCAGTTATCCAGGCGCTTAGAGGCCACTGAAACCATGGTCCCACGGGTCCTGACTCCTGCCTGTGCTGGCAGCAGAACTTGGTGTCATCCATATGATTATGCTTTTACCAGCATGCAGAACGCATGAGTTGTGGGAGTCAGGGAGGCTTCTACCAGATAGAAGAGGTTGGAGGCCAGGCAATGAGCCCCTGAAAAAGCAGTGCATAAAACTGTGGGAATGGATCCAAAGGTGCAATGGAGACCTCAGGAAAATGGACATGCCAGGAAGGTGGAACATCTACCAGGGAAAGCTGCAAGCCACATGTGGAGCCAGTTCAAGAGGGAGGCCATGAGGAGGGCGTTAACCAGCAAGCCAGCAAGGCCATAGGAGTGGGGCTGCCCAAGCTCTTTAGAATGTACAACTTACCACCATGTGCCCCAGAAGTCAGATATGTAGCCACTGGACATAATCTTTGCCCTAACTGGGTTTTTGTCTTGCTTTGGTCTGATTCTTTTCTGTTTTCCTAATCTTCCCTTTTTGAATGAGAATGTTTATGTTGTACCATTGTACTTTGAAATTATGTAATTTGTTTTTGACTTTTATAGAGGTTCACAGCTGAGAGTTTGCCTTGAGTCTCAGGTGAGACTTGAAATTGGGCATTTAAAATGCTGGAACTGTTGAGGCTTTGGAGAGGGCACTATTGTATTTCTGAATATATATGGTATACTTATGTTAGGCAGAATTATGAACTTGCTATTTTATTTTGAGATTAAGTATGATTTCAGGAGATGCAGTTGAGTGTGAAATTGAAAAGTGGTAGATGGTGAACATTCTTTCTGATGTCAATTTTGTGGGCTAAGAAACACCTAGAAGATTAGTAAAGCACACTCCTGGGTGTGTCTGTGTGGGTCATGGAGTGCAGCCTTAGGCACTCTGTATGGTCCCTAGCACTGTTCCCCTGCTCTGCTTCAGGATGCCAGGAAATAAGCTGTTTGCTCTTCTATGCACTTCTGCCACATCTTTGCTTTACAGCAAGTTGACCATGGGCTGAACCCATGGAGCTATGAGCCAAATTAAAAATTCCATTCAATTTGTGGGTGTCCCGTATTATGTCCCAGCAATAGAAAAGCTAATATACCCACTCCTGAAAAAAAATTTGAGAGACCAGAGCATGACAGTGGATGTCCATGACATTTGCCAGGCCTTGAGTTCTGAATGCAAGCTTCCACCAACCACAAGTTCTCCACAGGTATCTGTCCCGCCTGCGCTGGTTTATGACTGCAGAATGAAATAGCCTCAGGGTAGTGTGCCTCTCACAGGGCATGGACAGAGAACCAAGGGGCAACCTTTTTCTGTGTAATGACTTCTTCATGGAATTTTTTATATTCATTTTGGAGTCAAATAACCTTCTCCCTGTTAACACCTTTCAGATGAGAAAAGACATGCGCTTAGAAAAATGTAAACATTACTATTGCAATACTAAAAGCTCAAGCAACCAAAGAGAAAATAGCCTGAATGTATCAAAAATTTTTAAATGTTTGTGCTTCAAGGAACACCAAGAAAGTGAAAAGACAGCCCACAGGATGAGCAGAAATATTTGCAAATTACATAACTTAGAAGAGAATTTAGAATATATAAAAAACTATTGCAGCTCAATAATAAAAGATAATTTAATTATGAAATAGATAAAGGATCTGAATAAATATTCCTGTAAACATATTAAAATCACCAAATTTACTTGAAGTGGGTGAATTTTATAGCTTGTAAATTACATCTCAATAGAACTGTTCAAAATAATAGGCAAGGACAAGGAGAAACGGAAAAATAAACAAAATGAGTTTCATAAACCAACACACCACACACAAATACAGGCATGGTGGACATTCTCTGCTTCCTCTGCACAGCGGGGACCACACACCCAGCCTCAGTGTTGACATCAGTGTACCTTAGCTGGGCAGGGGTCTGCTCTGAGTTCCAGAGAATTCCCTTCTAACTCTATTGTTGGCTTATACGTCCTTAAATAAAACCATCAACACACCAAGTTTTCTTCCCTGAGATAATTCTTTTATTGAAGAAAAACTTGATCAAACTCCTGAGACATTTCTATCAGATCATTTTCATATAAATATGATGCACCAACCATTCACTGCAAATAGCACATTGTTCACAGCATACGTGTCCCATCTGAAAGGGTGTGTCTGGCATCACACACAGACTTCTATGCTCTGAACCTTTTTCATAGAGAAGCAGAGAAGAGTGGATAATATTCCTGCATGGAATTCTAAATCCTACTTCTATTCAGTTGGACATTTCCCTCTTTGTAATGGATGCAAGAGAGATAAAACACCAGTGGACACTCCACAGAATCCCCTTCAGGAAGAAGAGTTTCTCCAGACCAGAAATCATGCCCCACTTCTCACCAGTGCCCAGAACAGATCTTGTCCCTAAGAAAGCACACAAAGCATTGTATGACAAGATGGATGGATGGATGGATGGACAGACAGATGATCAGGGAGAGAAGGAGGAGGGAGAGAGGGAAGGGAGGGGGGAAGGAAGGAGGGAGGGAAGGAAAAGGAAAGGGAGCAGACGAAGGTATGGAGGATAGATGGACAGACAGATGTGTAAGAAGATAAATGGAAAGAATGGAGGGAAGAGGGCAAAACAGATGAAGAATGGATGGATGGATGGATGGATGGATGGATGGATGGATGGATGATGGATGGATGGATGATGGTTGGATGGAGATATAAATCTGTGGTAATAAGGATAGATAGGTGTTAAATAGTTGACGGGGTAAGTAGAGGACAGAAGGGAAAGAAGGAAGGGAGCTAGATAGATAGATGTGTGAATAGATTAATAAGCAGCTGGATGCTTGGATAAATTCATAGGCAACAGAGCTCCCACCAGGTGTGTCCTTGACCATCCTGGGAACCACAGGTACATCCTAGAACTTGATACTCCTGCTGGTCTCCATGACACTTCAAAGCCTGGAGCTTCAGGAGGGCTTTAACACATCCCTAAAGAGATTGAGCCCTGTTGTACTGAGCTGTATCCAGCAGCTTTGCCACTTTGTGACACACTAACTTTGGGGACACACGGAAATCAGGCAGACCCAAACTGACCCCAACGGGGGCTCATGGAGCCACAGTGGTGTGTAATTGTGGTTCTGCCATGAGGGGAGGAAAGGAGGAGGTGGTCAGGAGGGATATCTGAGCTGAGACCAGATTTACAGGTAGGAATAAGCCTACCTGAGGGTGTCTGTGTGTGTGTGTGTGTGTGTGTGTGTGTGTGTAAGAAAGAGAATATGCTCAAGGCAGTGAGTGGTGTGGTGACATACACAGGCCCTGAAAGAACAGAGCAGAGGGGCTGTGGATTTAGCTCAGCGGCAAAAGCGCCTGCCTGGCAAGTGCAAGGTCGTGAGCTCGGTTCCCGGTACCCGAGAAAAACAAAAACAAAAACAAAAACAAAAACAAAAAAAAGAATAGAGCAGAGATCCTCAATCCCAGGCAACCAAGATACAGAGGGCAAGGAACAGAGCCTGCAGGACCCACAGAGACTCCCCCTGGGTTCTTGAAGGTCCCACCAGCCATGGAGGGATTTGGACTATGCTCAGTGATATGGTCCAATTTGCACGCAACAAGAAGTAGGGGCTGAAATTTGGGCTGTCAGTCTCAGGAGGGTTGGGCAGCTTCCTCTGGGGAAAATCCTACTGCACATCTGCATCCAGGTCTAACAGAAAGAAAACAGTGCCCATCCCCCTGGGAGCAGCTCCAAGCCCCATGACAAGCCTGGCTTGTGAGGAGCTGTGTGCACCTGGCCTGAGGGCATATCCTGGCCAGACTTTGCCCCCCAACACAGCCAAGCAGAGGTCCTCTGCACAAGCCCTGAGATGTGTGAGATGGGGGAAGCCAAGGCCACACTGGCTCAGGCTGTGACTTTTAGTTACTTTTACTACCACAAGTCTTTCCATAGGGTAGAAATGCCCATAGTCTAAATTCCCACCCTCTGGTTCCCATCTAAAGCAGGTGAGAGCAGAAGTCTACCCAAAATCCACCCTGAGTCCTGTTCCCTGGCTCCATAGGAGCACAAGGCTTATGGTGCGCACCATTCCCTACCCTCAGGAAGCTCTGAAGTGGCCAAAGCGTCCCCAGAAAAGGAGCTTGTCTCCCTGGAAATGTCCGGTATCCATGATCTCATGGTCACATCAGGACTGAAGGTGAAAAGGATTTCTACAGCGTAGGTCAGGATGGTAAGGGCCCTCTCTGAGGTCACTTGTACTAAGGAAGAGAGTTTTTCAGGGAAACTCCCATGGTCCTGGTGCAGCTTCACAAATTTATCCTGGCGAGCAGAAATCATATTGGGTTTGAAGAATGAGCTGGAACCTTCCAGAACTGCCCACAATTGGCTTGCAGAACTGAGAGGATACTTCCCTGTCCCTGTAGAGAGTTCCCTGCTTAAACTGGGAGTTCCCAGCTGGCCTAGTCCTGGAGCTCACACCAGAGGGAAGCCAGAAATCAGCAGGGTCTGCGGCCTTTGTCTCCTCAAGCACCCAAAGCTCAATGCCACATAAGCCCTGGAGGAGTCCGGAGCTGGGGGTTTGGAGCAGAAGCCTTCGCCAGAGCTCCATGACCAGCACGGTGAGCACCGTCATCCTCTTGGCTTCTTTTCCTTCCAGATGGCTCAGGTCAATGGGGTCTCACAGGCAGCTCAGCTCCCTCGTCTTTCACTCTATGATCTTGATCACTCTTTTTATTTTCTACTTCTCCTCCAAGGCTCTGGCCCTGAAATTAGAAGCGAATCCACAGGAGTTCCAAGTAAACATGGTACTGACGTCATCACGGACGATCGGGACTGGACGTTTAGCTGAAGGGCCCGGATGGTCCTCGCACTTTGAGCTGAGACTTAAGATGACACAGCAAGTTCAAGCACCCCAGCTGGCAGCAGGGGACCATGTTTTGTACCTAAGAGTGTGTATTTTCTGAACAGGGCCACAGGACAGCCCAGTGCAGAGAGAGCTGAGAAAGGCAGGTGAAGGAAGCCATCTAGCCTGTCCTCCCTATCCTGCGATTCTGCATCAACAGATTCAACTAACCATGAAATGAAAATTTGCCCCTTAAACAGGGCATCTGTACTGAACAGGGACAGACTTTGCTTCCTGTCCTCATTCCCTAAGCAGTACACATAGCACTTATGTGCATGGCATTTACAGCGTATGAGACATTATGTGGGATCCGGCAATGTGTTAAATTATACAGGAGGATGTCCGCAGGTTATAGGCAGATACTATGCCGTTTGATATAAAGGACTCGAGCATCTGAGGATTTTGGTCCATGGGGGCCCTGGAACCAATTGCCTATGGACACTCAGGGATGACTATACTTTAAAAGTTGAGGCTCTATGTTTGAGTGTGCAGACCTCCCCACACACACCTATAGGCGGTACAAACGCCTTGTTACTCGTTGCTTCTTCTAAGAGCCTTCAGGGTTTAAAAGTCAAGGATCAGTTCAGTGATCTGGTGAAGGGGTAGCCCATTTTTCTGTTGCAAACCAAAGAGAATGGAAGGTCCTTTCCGTCAGCTGGGTAGAACTAATGTCAGACACGATGCAGCCTTCTAAGACGATGCAGTCCTTACTTGGATATTTTATGGTTTCAATATTAAATCTCTATCTTAGGTCAAGCTATTTACCAAATGAATAGTATTCCTCCGCCGGCCCACCCTCATTTACAAATCTCAATCTCTTGCTTAGGAAGCTTATTCATGGAGAAGGCCATGACATAGAGTGAGGGTGTGTCATTCCACCATGTCCAATTGTTATGTTTTAGAGTTTAAGGAAACTAGTTATTCTGTAGGGATTTGAGAGCAAAGACTTTGTTGTACAGAGAATAGATGTTACTGCAGTTGGGCTGTGCAGGCAAGGTCTGGCTCGGCTTTAGGAAACCTGAAGTCTTATAAAATGTTAAACACACAAGCCCCTAAAAAATATCCAGTAACTATCCTTCCCCCACAGCTTCACTCTCCCATCGCTCTGGATCATGCTAAAACCTATTGCCATATTCCACTTTCTAGCAACCTGGGCTTGAGAGGCAGAGAGGAATTCGCCTTCTTTTTGTTCTGCCCGAAAGATGCTGGTCCATAGAAGAATTTGAAATTCAAATTTTTCAGTATTTCCTTAATGATGCAAGACTACAGCTGATTCGCATGTGTTCTCTGTTTCTTTTTGGCTTTATTAGTTTTCTGGCTAAAGAGAGGACCATGAAAAGTCTAATTACAAAAGTCTCTTCCCGCCCCTTCTCCCCCATGGCATGGAGATTCTAAGCGTAAACCAACCCAGCCCTCTTCCAGAGAGAAGCCTGTAGGAGTGTTGTCTAGGGAGGTACCTTGCAGGTTCACATCTTGGCTTCATGGAACAAGGACATGATGACTAAGGAAACAGGAAGCTCATGGATGACACATCTCCACTCTACCTCATGGCCTTTTCCATTAGTGAGTTGTGTATGTCTGGAATGTCCCACACGCGCTGCCCTTCCAAAGCAATGGATTGAGATATGTAAATGGGGGTGGTTCCAAGGGGTTGGGCTGTGGAAAGATCAGTAATGTATTGGGGGCCCTTCTTAATTGATTGAAAACTGATAGATGACCCTAGCCCTATTCCATCTTCTTTTTTTTTTTTTTTCCTTTTTTTGGGGGTTACCAGGAATCAAACTCAGTACCTTACACTTTCCAGGCAGGTGCTGTACCATTGAGCTAAATCCCAGCCCCATTCCAGCCTCCTGAGCTTCACTTGAAGCCTTGCTACACTGTCCTCCAGAGGACAGCAACAGATGCTAGAAAACACGAAATGGCAATTCTGCCCAAGCATTTACAAGATAGAATTTGGATCTGTTTTTCCACAAACCCTATCATTGAATGAACGTGGGTTTCTGGTTCTATTCCCAGGCCCTACTCTGCTCCTTCCTGAGAGTCCATATCACCACATGTGACAGTTAAGTTTGATTGTGTCACCTTGGTTTATTTGGAAGCCACCCCGGGTATTGGTGGACCACACTTCCGGGTGGCTTTTGTTGGGTCATGGAGTCATGACCTTGGGTACTGTGTACTCCACCTGGTCCATCAACACGTCCTCCCCAGTGCTGCTCCCTTCCCTACTTCCTGGGCACCAAGAAATAAGCAGTTTTCCTTGATCATGCCTTTCCACCATAATGTTCCTGCTTTGGAACCTGCTGGCCATGTACTGAATCCCCTGAAACCATGAGCTAAATTAAACCTCTCCCAGCTGACTAACACATAAATGTAAATGTGTAAATTTACTAACTGGAAAAGAGTGACTTTCTTGTCCTACTGTGTGCTTCCCCAGCCCATTCTCCAAACCCTTTGGAGCTGGGGAAGGAGGGGATTCAGATCCCTAGGGGGAAAAATATAGTTTTGCTTCTGAGCTGAAAATACATCTCTAACACATTTTTAAACTAAAGGATAAATGTAGCATTTCATTGTTACCAATACTAGAAAATTTTTAAGTTTATTTACAGAACTGTCTAAATAAAAAATATTTGGTTTAGCAAAACTTAATTCTAAGAACTTAAAAAATGCCAGAATACTTTAGTTCTCTCTGATACAGAGGTTTTATGTAATACAGTAATAGCTGACACTGTACTTATTAGCTTATAGATGAGTTCAGTGGCTTGGTCAACCTTATTTACTACTATATCCATAACAGCTAGGAAAGTGTCTGATATATTTCAATACTCTATTAACAGTTATCCAGTGAGATTAATGAAGGGATATGTGAATAAATCAATGGACAGTGAAATAGGTAATCCATTCTCAATTTTCCTCCTTTTCTGATCTTTTACATGTTATGAACTAGAGAATGTTAACAGATGTCAAAGGTTGATTTGCATTTTTTGCTAAGGTTCAATAAAACTGTTTTAAATGCATGCACTAACTTGCAAGCATAAGTATCTGAGAATCAACCCCGCCAGTCAAGGAGTGTAGTACAGACAATGGACACTAGAGGGAGCTACACAACTTGCCAAAGAGGTGTGTCAGGTTAAAAACAGTGTGATGATTTTGCTGTGTGCTCTTCGCAGCGTAAAGCACCATCATAAAGTCGCTATTACTGCTGCATTGCATAATGTATGACTACTCACCAGAACAAGCAAAGTTTAGAACTTCAGCTTGCTAGGCATCACACTTTATGAAAAGTGAGCCCACCTTCTCGTCTCAAATTGCGCACTTCTCTTTTTTTGCACAAGCACCCCAGTTTAAAAAATTAAGCATAAATGGGAGAAAAGTATTTCCCCATGGATGACAACTAAATCTGTGAAAAATTCACCTGGAGAAACAAAAAGCAAAATGACGAACCTGTAGAAGGAAAAAATAAATTTTAAAGCACTACACAATTACTTCTTATCTCCAGCAACATGTTTGCAAAAGAACATTTTGTCGCTGACATATTCAATTTCACCCCCTCCAGTAAAGAAACTTAGGCATGTACAGGCTGACCGGGAAATCACGTCAGATGGAGTTATGATCCCATTGGTCAAGTTTCAAAGGCTTCGTGTGTAACCGAGTGCAGGAAGAAAGAAATTTCCCACAAACTCTTTCTCTCAAAAGGTCTGAAAAATCTGTAAATATTTTCAGAGCCATTATAAGCCACAGATGTTATCAACAGCCAGAACTGCACAGGCTTTAAAAGACCTGGTCCACACTGGAGGCTGCTTCAAAATAGGTTTTTTAAAACACTTGCATGGAAACCAAGTGAATTTCCCTTTGAAATGTTGTAAAATGTTCATGCCTTACTTAGAATCAGAAGCGATCGGCTCCACTAAGCTTTTTGCTTAACGCTCTGTTTCGAAAGCACATGAAATCGTAAGAAGCATCCAAAATAACAGCCAGAAAAAGGACAAGAGATAGAACTTGAAAAACAAGTCCAGAAAGGAACTCTAAGACGCACCAACTAATTAAAGGCAAAAATGAAGTAGCTCAGGGAGATGTCCAGGGAAAAGATGATCCTGGAATGTGCATTACTGGGTGACCTGTGGGAAACTCTCCTCTGCTGAACTCGTTGATTTCCATGAAGAGAAAGACAGATTAGGAACTGAGAAAGTGCAGAGCATCTGTGACTGCATGTGCAGCCTCCTCCCACCAGCTGGGGAAAACCCGAATGTCAGCGCTGACTGACAGGGTGGCTACAGGATGAAGCTGATTCTCTGAAACCCTCCTGAGAGAATTCAAACCCTGCCTGCAGACCCTGGGGGAGCCAGGAGGTGTGGGTGAAAATGGGAACAAGCCCTGATTTATACAAGGAGGGAAAACACACTGACTTGCAGTACTTTTTTTAATTCCGAAGTTTTACTGATCTAACTTTAATGATCTTCCTTCCTTCAAGGGGCTCAAGCTTGCTGTGGAACAGTCTCCCTGGAAGTCCTCTCATTTGTTTGAAAGTTGGAGTTGGTGAATCTCAGAGTGAATTAAAGTGACAGGTTTGGCACCTGATCCCGGGCTCAGCTTCCTCTGACCAGACCACACTCATTCCCAGCTCTTGAACTAACCCCCAGAGGAATTCTCCAGGAGGAAGCCATCTCCCCAATTAGGCAAAACCATCCTCCTTCCTGCTTACCCCTCCAGCCCCTGCGGTCTCCATATTTCGATATGCAACCTGTTTTCTTTTTCCTTTCCCAGCCAAGAAACTGCGGCGTCCACAACAAAGGCCGCAGCCTCATTTGTGAAGTTCAGCAGTAAACTCACACCACTGGTCAGCTCAGCGCCCAGGGAGGCAGGCTGACTTCCTTTCATTCCTAACTCAGCGCCACAGGGCAAGTCACTTAGCCACCTCATTAGGATCACAGTCACAGCCCTGCCACGGCCTCCTTCCCCAGTGCCTGGTCACCTGATTAGTATCTGTAAAGACCCAGGAAGCCTTCCAGCTGAAAGGTGCCACAAAAGCAAAACCTATCACTATTATCATCAATAAACTCCAAGGTGCTCTTGCCTGTCACCACCTAAAGTAAATCAGTCACCCACCTTGGTCCATCAGCCCCCTAATGAGCCACCTGCAGCCGCAGAAATGTCCAAGATCGACACTGATGGGCACTCGGCTTCCAGGAAAGAAAAAGAGCCACTCTTTAATTTGGGGCAGTCAGTTTAAACTCTTAGAACTTCCTGGTCTCGTGGCCACAAGGGCAGCCTAGAGGCCTCATGGCTCCTGCTCTGCCCCCAGCCCCTCACTGGAGCCCGGGAACCCAGGGAGGCCTGCTGTGTGGGGCCCTTCCGCACTTGGAAGAGAGCAAATAACACTGTCCAAAGCAACTTGGAAATATAGAGATTAGTGGGTCTGTTTTCCCCTCTGGCTATTTAAAGAACATCTCAAGTCCTGCCTTCCCTTGGGACCCAACACTGAGGCCCTGTGCTCCTCCCTTAGAAACCCCTCATTCAAAGTCTGTCTGACAAAGTCACCAGGGCTCTGTCTGGAAGAACCCAGAACCAAAGGTGGTGTGCCTGACCATCAACAGGGACATAAATAACAACACCGCTATAGGGCACCATACTATACTACCATTAAAAAGGAGAAAATGGACAAGTGAACATTGTCTGTGTGAGGCTGCTTTTACATGGGTGTTTTCCTCCAAAGCAGACAGGATGGGACCCTTGCTTGTCACAGCAAACCTTGGGTGTCTTGAATTTTCAACCGTGTACATACATTACCTGTTCAAAATACGGCTTGCAACTAACGGGTCTTCAACCAAACACAGGGCGTTGATCTTAAATGTTAGAAGGGTCTATTCTAACTGTAAAAGGGGAACCCCTTAGTCTTGGAGGGATTTTCATTACTAAAGAGGTGGAGATCTTTTTGAGCAAGACCAAGAGGAAGGTCATGAAGGCAAGGTAGAAAAAGATGCCACCAGCCAGGCTTCAGCCCCTCCCTTGCTCTTGGCATAACCTCAAGGGACACGTCATCCACATGGGTCTGATCCAATGCCTGGAAGTTAATCTGTACCAGATACTGACATTTGGAATAACTAGACCATAGGGCGCTGTTTTCAGTCCCACTCACCGGTCTGGAAGTCCTGCCTCTTGAAGCTGAACCTGGAGCCAGATGTTGATGCGCTGATCCCAGGCCCCTGGGGGCTCCACCTCCCACAGGCGCCCCCGCTCCTCTGGATAGGCCAACAGGAATTGCCTACAGACTGAGGGGAGAACACACGCATGAGTCAGGAAGACCCCTGCCTAGCCCCGGTTCACTTGGCCAGCTCTCTCCTGTCTCAAACGTGGCCCTCGTCCAGTTCCTCCTGCAGCACCATCCCCACCGCCAGCATCTGTGCTGATGTCTGCAGCACTCAGCACTTTCTTGTAGCCTCCCCTGCACACAGCAGCCTGACCTACTCCGCAGGGTCCTAACTCCACCCATCCTGTGCCCATTTTTAGCGCTATTATAATGAGACACAATCAGCCTTTGATATCCAACAAGGATGGTCCCACAACCCCCCGATGGTACTCAGATCTGAGCATGCCACATTCAATATAACGGCATAGTGTTTGCATATAACTAGGAACATCCTCCTACATATTTACATCAACTCTAGATGAATTATAGCTGCTTAATATGATGGAAATGCTCTATAAATATTGTGACACTTCATCATGTAGGGAATAATGGCAAGGGTCTGTATATGTTCAGTAAAGACTTTTTTCCCAAATGTTTTCAATCCATGCTTGGTTGAATCCATGACTTCGGAATCCACAGATATGGAAAGTTGACTGTACCACAGACCAGGCGGTTTAAACAACAGAAATTTATTTCTCACACTTTGAAATCTCTAAAGAGTCAAGACCTAGTTGTCACAGGTTTGATTTCTTCTGAGACCTCTCCTTTGGCTTGCAAAGCACCATCTTCTCCCTGTGTCCTCTCATGGCCATTTCTGTATATATATATATGACTCCTCTCTCCCTTCTCTCTTTGCTTGCTTCTCCTTCTCCTTCTCCTTCTCCTTCTCCTTATTCTGCTTCTCCTTCTTCTTCTTCTACTTCTTCTTCTTCTTCTTTTCTCTCTCTCTCTAAGGACACCACTCATACTAAAGTAAGGGCCCATATTTATAATCTCATTGAACATTAAAGACCTTCCCAAAGGCCTTGTATTTTCACCTGCAGTCGTGTTGAAGGCCTTAACACATGAACTGGAGGGACACAATTCAGTCCCCAGCACCTCCTCCATCCTGAGCTCCCCCTGCTCTTCTCTCTCATGGAAGCTCCCAGCTCCTCCTCTGCAGCTCCTTGAGGTTCAAAGACATCTACACCCATGTTCACAGAAGGAGCAGTTTTGGATGCCAGTGTCCAACTCCAGGCAAATGGGGAGCTGCTCCGGCCATGCAGATGTCTGTGGGGACCTCATCAAGCCCTCTCCTAATCTTTGTAGGCTGTAGGAAAAGAGCACAGGCAGAAACCTACAGAATGCAATGCTAACTATCTGAAAAGGAGTCAAGTACTAGCAAAGTGCTAGGTATAACACGCCCTAGCTTGGCAAATACAACTTCTTAATGACAGAGAAAGCCAGTTTCTAACTTAGAATTCTCAGACTCCTGGAGTTCTACATCAGAATGTGGCAATACCAGGAGAGCTGGGCCCCCAGCAGTCCCCTGCCCCTTCTCCCCCGCCCTGCCACCTCCCCCTCCTCAGGGGCCCCTTGAACACAAATGTGGGCACTGGCCCACACTTCATCCACAGCCCGCCAACAGCTGCCCCAGGGCTCTAAGGATGTTCAGAGAGAGGGATGAAGTCCAGGCAGCCCCCAGGCAGTCAGGAGTAGGAATCTGGGGTTCCGCCACCTGAGTTGGTTCTGAAGGAGCAGTACCCCAGGAGGGCACATCCCCTTGGCCCAGAGCCCTTGTTCCCCACAGGGAGATGCAGCTGGAAAAAGGGCTGAAAGCACAGGGAATAGCACAGAAGAAGGGCGAGACTGTACCAAATAAAATTCTGCCAGGGAGGGGTGGGCTCCTCCCTGTGATTCAGGATGAGCACCTTTAGATGCTGACAGAGACAGAGGAAGGGCAGCCGTCCCCTGGAGCACAGGGGCTTAGGCTCCCTTTCAAGACCGCTGAGCCCCTGAGGTAGCTCAAAGTGGGAGGTCAGCTGGCTCCAGCAGAGGTCCCAGAACTGACAGGAGAATGAGAGAGACTGGCGGGGTGTGGGTGTAGGCAGACAACCTGCTGCCTGGGCGCCAGGCCTCCCCGGCATCTGACAGCGAGCTCCCAGCACAGGAAGCCTGGAGCACACGCTGCAGAAACCCAAGGCTCTCTTGAGTTTAATAATAGCCTGAGGGTTTGAAAAATACAAAGAAACAACTGAACCCACTTGAGGGAAAGTGTGTCTTTCACCTGCTTTACTTCCAGACTTCAGAGCAACATCAGTTTCCTGGCTGTTCCTCTTTCCCCTCCTACCCATTGTTCTCTTCGTACCAGAAGGACCCTACAAACCAAAGAGTAAAGATTCAAAAACATCTGTATAAAAAGAAGGGAGGCAGGACCCGGAGTGGGGTAAGTGTGCTTCATGGGAGGCGGCGGGCCTAGAAAGGTGCTCTCCGGCCTCCCCCATCCTTACTGACTTGGAGTGTTACATTTAGCAGTTGAGCTTTTGATCTTGCTCTGGCAGATACATACAAAGAATGTGAAGAACTTAGAAAGGGACCCAGCAGCGCGATCACAGAGGAGGGAGAGCGAAAACATCAGAGGTGCTGGATGTCTCTTGCCTTCCCACCAGCTCCTGGGCTCTCCTGCAGCTTCTCTTGCAAAGGACAAAGGGATGGACTATAAGCTTCAAATGAAAAGTGAAGTCACCGGGAGGGTCCCAGAGGCAGTTCTCTGGAATCTGCTTCCGTCTGAGGTTGTTGCCGTGTTTCTGGTTACAGATACTCCTCAGCTCATAATGAGGTCACATCCCAATAAACCCACTGTAAATTCGTAACTTGACGATGCATGTAATACACCTCCACCTGCTGCGCCTAGTGTCCTACTTACTTTTCTCTCATTGCTGAGACAAAATACCTGACGCCCAGTATTAAGGAAGGAAAGGTTTATTTAGCCCACAGTTGGTGGATGTTTCAGTCCATACTTGGCTGGCTCCAAGGCAGGACCGCACAAGGCAGAGGGCAACAGTTCATGGCAGCAGAAGACAGCAAAAGCAGCAAGAGCAAAAGGGAGGAGCTGTGGCAAGCACCCCTTTCCGCCCCTTGCACTGTATGCAAACTACCCGCCCCAGGGTGGGTGTAGCACTCACACCCATAATCCCAGCACTGGACCACGAATCAATCATAAACTCTAGAAGCCCGCCCCATGACTGCATGAGGCTTTGGGGAGACACCCAGACACAAACCATAACACCTAACTTACCTTAAATATGCTACAAACACTTATCCTGCAGTTGGGCAAAGTCATCTAACACAAAACCTAGTTTACAAATGTGGAATGACTCATGCAGTTACTGAACATCTGTATCAAAAAAAGAATCTGGCAACATAGTCTACAGGAGGGTTGCGGGTGTTTGCCCTGATGATGAAGTGGTAGCCTGGAACCTGTGGATCACAGCCTGTGCCTGACACCTCCAGAGATCGAATGAGACTACATGTCAGCTTCTACCGAGTATGCACTGTTTTACACCTTCATAAAGTCGAAAAATCAGATGCCATCATGAGTTGGGGAACCACCTACATTTTCAACTCCAGTTATGTCTCACGTTGGGAAAGGTTCATTTCCTGAGATCCAACATGAGGTATCTGTGCTGAAGCCATACAGGCTCCTTAGAAGGGAAGAAAAGCTGAGGGCTGCATCTGCTCAGAGGGACTCCCGGGAATCTCCCACCCCAGAATCGCCTGGAAAACACAGGTGCTCTTCACCACATCACTCCAATGCTCACACATGGCGTCAGGTGGGGTTACCTCGGAACATGGCAGGAGAAATCGGATGACTGACCCCCAGGGCCTCCTCTTCTTGGAAGGTCTCACAGAAGTCCCTCAGCATGGCTATGCCAAGGCCTTGGCGACGATGTGTCCTCCTGACAAACACAGTATCAAAGACTGGCAACAGATAGCATGCACCAGTGCCGCTGTCACACAGACTGCCTGAAGGGAAAGCAAGACACACACTGTCTCTTGCGTTGGATGCTGACCCACCAGGACCCTGTGGGGGGGTCCCTGCATAGCCAGGGTCATTGGGCCCACCTGGAAGCAGAGTTAGCTTCACAAGGCAAACAACTGATGCTAAAATAACAGATCATTCCAAGCTACCATTTCTCTAGTTGACTAATCTGTTTTCTTTTTTCTTTTCTCTCTTTTTTTTTGTTTTTGTTTTTGTTTTTTGGAGACAGGGTCTCACTATGCAGTTCAGGTTGGTCTTGAACTCGCTTTAGAGTCCAGTCTGGCCTCAAACTCGCAACAATCCTCCTGCCCCAGCCTCCTGAGTGCTGGGATTACAGGCATGCTCCATCATGGCTGGTTAATCTGTTTTCTTGTAAGACTCATGTTATTAATTGCTACAAGGGCAGCCACTGGACCACTGGATCATTCCACTGGAAAGACAAGTAAACCTAGGAGATGCAGTAGGGCAATGTAGCCCATGTACTCAACCTCAAGATGTCATCTTTCACTGAGATTTTTGGAGCCAACTAAGATTTTCTTGGAAGCATCAAAATTCTCCCTGCAAGAGTGAATCCTGAAGGAAGATGGGCTTGGAGACCAACCTATCCCATCCCCAAGATATGGACTTGTTTCAGTAACTCCAGCGTGGGCACACAGTGCCCAATTAGGGCAAAAAACATCTACTACAAAAATTCACAGCCCCAGGCCCTGCTGCCCATGAAACAGTGATAACCCTGCTGCAGCACAAGAGAAGCTGCAGCTGTCCCCCTCCCCATTTCCCATCTTGAATTTAACTTTATTGCAACCAGAACCAACACTAGCATGGCGGCCATTGCCCAAGTGAGAAATTGAGCTTGATGCCAGTCACCTGTCTTCACCCCAACCGGAAAAGCAATTCCAGACCCAGAAATGGTCCCTGCCAACATTCAGAAAGAGGGTAATTCCCAAATTAAAAAAAAAAAAAAGTCTAATTTTATTGCAAAAGATATACACTACTGTGGTGAACTGTTTGCATAAATACCCAAAGTGATTTCCCTTCCTATACCCACACCCTACTATATGTGATCTGTAACCTCATCCCATCAAGAAATGGAGTCTACCTCCCCTCCATTCCCCTTCAATCTAGGTTGACTTCTGATTCACTCTCAGTCACAGAATGAGGCAGAGTAACAGCTCAGCAATTCTGAGCCCGGACTTTATGGGTCCAGTGTGCCTCTGTTTTCTCTGAGGTACCTACCAACCACCACAGAAGCAAGTCCAGACCAGTCTGATACCATGAAAGAAACATGGTTTGGGCAGCCTTGCAGTACCAGCTAACCCATATCCTGTCCTAAGCAATAGGTCCTGACAGTTGGGTCACTGTCGACACACAGGCAATATTAGGAAACCATCCTACTAAGTCCAACCTATGTGCCAACCAAAACATTTATTAGTTAAATAAACAGTTATTGTCTTATGTTAAAAATGAGTAAATAAACAATATATGTCCAACAAGGAAACTCAATTCACTTGAGGTAGTAACTGTAACATATCGGGGATTTCACCCTCAACGTACTTGATAGTATCAACTTGATTGAAATTTCTGTAACCAATTTGTAGAAGACGAGAAGAGTGTTCCCCTAATGTGAAGTCCTCCAAAATTAAGAATGTTTAGGTTTAAATTAAGATGCAATCCATTCAATATAGCATGAAAAAGAAGTATATATTCAGGAATATGTTTAACAAAAGAAGTGCAAGCCTTGAACGTTGAAAAATATAAAGTATTTGAAAGAAATTAAAGCTCTACGTAAATGCAGAGAAATTCCATGTTCAGTGGTGAGATAACTCAAAACTGTTGACAATTCTTCACAAGCTGATGTGTAAGTTCAATGCCAGCTCTATCAAAACCCCCACAGGAGTTTTGGTTGAAATGTATAAGCTGAGACTAAAATTTATATGAAATATAGTTTCTGAAATAATCTAAATAGTTTGGAAAATGAAGAGCACAGTTGGATGTCTTATGCTACTCAATTTCAAGACTTTGCCAAGCATCAAACTGAGTATCAAGTGTGATACTGACACCTAGATGGACGTATAGACCAAGGGAAAAGAATTGAGAGTCTAGAAATAAACCTACACTTAGGTTTTCAACAAAGGTGCCAAGCCAATTCAGTGGGAAAGGATGATCTTTTCCATAAATGGTGCTGAAATAATTGGACATTCACACATAAAATAATGAATCTGGAGATAGACTCTACACTCTTCACAATAATTATCATGAAACAAGTCATACATAGACTTAAATGTAAATGTAAACCATATAACTCCCAGAAGATAATATAGGAGAAAATCTAAATGACCTTGACTATGGCAATAACTTTTTAAAGACAACGTGAAAGGCATGATCCATAAAAGAAAAAATTGTTAAATTGGAATTCATTAAAATATAAACTTTCTGCTCTGTGAAAGACACTATCCAAAGAATGAGAAAATCAACTACAGACAAGCAGAAAATATCTGCAAAAGACATGTCTGATTAAAATTTTTTAAACACTGTTACTCAAAATATATAAACAATTCTTAAAACTTAATCAGAAAACTAAGAATCTGATCATAAAATGGACAAAATATATGAACAGATGCCTCACCAAAGAAGATATAAAGATGACAAATAAGCTTATAAAATGATCGCTAGGCAACTGAGATTTAAAATAGAGACAACTACACATTTATTACAATAGTCAAAATTCAAAGCATGGATAGCAAAAGCTGTGAAAGATATACAGCAACAGGAGTTCTTTATTTTTTTATTTTTATTTTAAAGAGAATTAAGAAAACAATAACAAAATAACAATAACATAGACAAAAATAAAACAACAAAAAACAATAGAAATGATACAGGGTTTCAAAACGAAATGATAGGAATTAACAGCGGTTGTTATATTATATATTATTATCTTCAACGAAGTTGCTCAGACTACCAGATGTAAGAATGCAAGATTGATCAAACCATTAAAGACAATAAAAAATAATTTTAAAAAAAACCTTAGAAAGGATACAGAGCTTCACTAAACAAGATGTTAGGAATTCACCAATGGTTGTTATATTGCATATTGTTGTCTTCAAATTACTTGTTCATATTACCAGATATAGGTATGCAAATTTGGTCACAAAAAAATTTAAGCATTAACTGTTCCTTTCAATATACCAACAGGAATTCTATGCATTGTTCATGGAAACACAAAATGGTACAGCCACTTTACAAAACTGCACAGCAGTTTCTTAACAAAACTGAATACACTTTCACTATAGGATCCACCAATCACATTCCTTGGTATTTATCCAAAAGAGTTGATAATTTATGTTCACACAAAAACCTGCACGCAAATGCTGAGAGCAGATTTATTCACAATTTCCAAAACATGAAAGTCACCAAGATGTCCCTCAACAGGTGAATAAATGAACAGACTGTGGTACACCAGGACAATGGAATGTTATTCAGCCTTTTAAAAAATGAGTTATCATGCTATGAAAAGAAGCAGAGAAACTCTAAAGGCATATTACTAAGTGAAAGAAACCAGCCTGAACAGGCAACATTTCAATGCCACAACCTTACAACAGTCCATCAGCTCTTTGACATCCAAGAAAAGACAAAACTAACACTGCAATTAAGAAAATAGCTATGTGGGTGGAGGTGGAGGATGGGTAGGTGGCACACAGAGGAATTTTAGGGCAATGAAACTACTCAGGATGGTACTACAATGGTATTAGACATTTGTCAACCCCAAAGAATATCCAATCCTAAGAGTGAACCTAATGTAACCTAGATTTTAGCTAATAATAATCTCATACTATGGGCTGAATTGCATCTCCCTAACACTCACATGCAGAAGTTCAAACCCCCAGCACTTCAGAATATGTCTCCAGACAAAACACTTAACCTAATGGGACCATTAGCGTGGACCTTGATGCAGTGTGACTGGTGTGCTTAGAGGAAGAGGAAACCTAAACACAGAAAAAAAAAAAAAAAGCAAGAAATTAGGTATGGAAGGAATCAAGTGTGATGGCACCTTAATCTTTGACTCTCAGCCTCTAGAACTAAGAAAAAATCAAATACTGTTGTTTGAACCACCTAGGTTCTGGTATTTTACCATGAGACTCCTAACTAACTAATATATATATCAACATTTGTTCAGAGATTGTAAATTCACCACAATTAATGCAGTAAGTTAAGAATAGAGGAAATGGGAGCATATGGACATACTTTATCCTTAATTTCTCTGTAAACCTAGAACTGCTCTAAAAATGATGTCAAATTGATACTTTACATGGAAGACCCCAAAAACTCCACAAGAAGAGTCCTTGAATTAATTAACAGATTCAGCAGTGTAGCTGGATACAAAGTCAACACCCAAAAATCGATAGCATTCCTATACACAAACAACAAACAGACCGAGGGAGAAATTAAGGAAACCATACCTTTCACAGTAACATCCAAGAAATTGAAATATTTAGGAATCAATCTAACAAAAGAAGTAAAAGATCTATATGGTGAAGACTACAGTACTCTCAAAAAAGAGATCAAAGAGGATTTCAATAAATGGAAAAATATTCCTTGCTCATGGATAGGAAGAACCAACATTGTGAAAATGGCCATACTCTCAAAATTGTTGTACAGATTCAATGCAATTCCCATTAAACTACCATTAGCATACCTCACAGATCTAGAGAAAACCCTCCTAAAATTTATCTGGAACCAGAAGAGACTCAGAAGAGCAAAAGCAATCCTGGGCAGCAAGGACAAGTCAGGTAGAATTACAATCCCTGACTTGAAATTATACTACAAAGCTACTGTAAAAAAATCAATATGGTACTGGCTAGAAAACAGGCCTGAGGATCAATGGAACAGACTGGAAGACGCAGACACAACCACAAACACACTCAGCCACCTAATCTTTGATAAAGGGCCCAAACAAACTTACTGGAAGAATGTTAGTCTTTTTAAT